ACGACACCGACACATGATACACGGCAGCAGCGCACAACACACGAACAAGCAGGGGGTGTGCTCCCGAATATGCGAACTCACCCACAATTATCGGTGCCGACTATCACAACCAACCTTTACAGTATGCATATCCTGCGGAACTCTCCTTCTCGCACNCTTTTCTACGTGCACACAAAACACTTGATCGGGAGGCCTATCCCTAAGCTGCAAGTGTTGCTGATGTGCGTAACTCCGGTCAACTTGAGTTGTCGCGCGTACCACCAGCCACGACACCGACACATGATACACGGCAGCAGCGCACAACACACGAACAAGCAGGGGGTGTGCTCCCGAATATGCGAACTCACCCACAATTATCGGTGCCGACTATCACAACCAACCTTTACAGTATGCATATCCTGCGGAACTCTCCTTCTCGCACAGAGGCTGATAACCCTAGCGCTGTCATGAACACCGCGTCGTGCGCGGCGAGACTCCCGCTCCGGCGTGATTTCAAGGCCATCCAAGGCCATTTCGGCGATGCCCCAAAGTTAGTGACCAACACCCTTGTACGCTAAGACAATGAGAAGTATCAGTAGCCACACACCTGCTCCACGCAGCCCTTGCGTTCTTGCCAGTCGTTCGCTGCCTCCTAGCTGAGCTTTCCACCTCTCCGTGAAGCCTCTGGACACGGTCTCACTCTAGTCCAGTTAATAAGGACTCTGGAGGAGGCGTGTTTTTGTATGAGGTCTGCGCGCCATCGCCGCATAAAAACAAAGAAATCCTAAACCCAATAATGCTGTGTATGTGGATGCAGCTAATCACAACAACTTTTTCTCCTCGGCGCAAGCTCGCCGAGTTGCCGATACCCTATTCAACACACGTCTTGCGATATGCTACCCCCAGTTCGGATTATCTTAACACCACACACCATGGAACCCTGACAGGTAGATGCCTAAGAACCGTGTCAATGTTTTTATGGGAAAACCCTGGAATATGTGCGGCCTCGTGGAAGTAAATGGGCGAACACCCTGTGGGAGAGCAAAGTGGCCACCGACGAAGCAACTACGTTCTCGGTGGTCTCAGCTACTACCGTAAGTTCCTCCCCAACATGGCTAAACGCATTCGACCTCTGACTACTCTACTCAAGAAGCAGGAGAAGTTTATCTTCACCCCTTCCATGGAGCAAGCCGTTTGCGTTTTGTTACCTGAGTTGGCCAATCCCCCTGTTTTGGTTTATCCAGATTGGGATGCTGTTTCAGACGGCTCGCGACCTTTTTCATCTTTGCTGTGATGCTAGTCACGATGGGTTCGGTGGGACTCTCGAACAAGAACAGCCGGGTTGTTCCATTCGCCCAATTGTCTTCATCAGTCGGACTTCTTTGGACTCAGAACGCCACCGGACTCCCCTCGATCTCGAGGCGGGTAGCATCGTGTGGTGTATCAAGAGCCTTCGTGGCTACTTGTGGGGTACAAAATTTCGCATTTTTACCGACCACAAATCTCTCGAGCATTTTGCTAAGGTGGGGGAGAACAAATGCCCGCGTTCAGCGCTGGCTGAAATTTCTTACCGCTACAATTACACTCTCGAGTATCGCAAGGGTGCCGCAAACGGCAACGTTGATTTCCTCTCACGTCTCCCAGTCGCTGCGACTGATTGCGACCGCTCAGGTCCCAGCCGTCTGACCCGGCTGAGGATGAAGAGGCGGTGTTTTTCATCCGTTCGTGTGGCCTTACCCCTTCCGGTGATCGGGCTGCGGGTATTGGCTTGGGAGGGCTAGTTCCTAATCCCCCGACTTCGGTCTTGGGTGGGCTTGCCCCCTGTACGGCTGACTTCGCTGATTTCCGTCGGCACGGTCCGCGTCTACCGTCATCAGGCCCCTCGTCTTCATCGGGCATTTGGAAAGTTGCTTCCTAATCGCCAAAGATCGCTCCCTTGCCGTCCGAGATGTTCTGCCGTTCGGCGCGCTCGCGATTGCGCAATCGACTTCCCATCGTTTGGTCCGGTTCCCTACCTCAGTCTTTCGATGATGTTTTGGCTCTCGAGCCAGAGCCTCCGTCTACCGTTCCCGCCCTTGGAAACCCGCGTCGGATCCTCGACCCCACCCAAGTAATCTCCACCAGAACTCGCCGTCACAAGGCAGCTGTGGCAGGCACGCCACTCCCGCCTGTTGATTATGGTTTTTCTGACGATGAGCCTGCTTTGTCCCCCACGCGGATTTCCGCTCCCTCTCGACCGTTTCGGTGGTCTCCGACGGCGACGAAGGCGCCGTCGATGTCACCAGCCTTGCCCAGTTGGGTTTCGACTACAGGTGCTGGTGGTTTATCCTCGACTCCCTCCGCGCCTCTGGCTCATGGAGTGTAGCCTGCGTCTCCGACGCCTACAACAACTGCGGTTGTTCCTGCTTTGCAGCCTCCTGCAGTCCCTGGCTCTTAGGAGTCTTTGTCGCGTTTGGTGTCAACCGCTCGCGCGCATTCGCCTCCGGCCTTCGTTGCTCCTCTATCCTCGGATGGGTTGCAGTCGGCGCCTCGCGAATCAGCCCCCTCTTCTATCGAGGCGGCTATACATTCTCCCGCGGATTTAGCCTTCCGGGCGTCCGTCGAACGTTTCTCGCACGCTGAGATCGGGCTCGCGAGCAACGCAACGAACCTGTGTGTGATGCAGCCATTCGCTTCATTCTTCTGGGTCGGCCTTCGGCCCTCCCTTCGGATTTCTTGGGCCGTGTTCTATCCGCTCGTCGACCCTCTCTTTCGGAGATTCGTGACCGGTCTAACAAAGGCCGGTTGCATGTTGACGATGATGGTTTGGTCTTGCTTGTTCGCAAGCAAACAGCGACCCCGTTGTCCACGACCGCACGTCCTGGCGGACGTGCTGCTCGCCTTCTTAACAATAAACCCATTCGGATTTATGTTCCCATGCTCATGCGTCCGTGGATCATGCACGTCTGCCACGCTTATGCGTCCTATCGCGTCGGTGCGGCTCGCACGCTTAGCATGCTGGAACGTTTCTATTGGTAGATTGGCATGAGTGTTTCTACGAAATGGTGGGTGCGGCATTGCTTACGATGCCAAGCCCGTAAATCGTCTCGTCAAACTCCTTGGTGGCCTACCATGTCCCTTCCTTTGCGGGCCCTGGTGTGTCGGTGAGTGTTGACTATTTTGGTCCACTTCCGTTGACACCGCGTGGCAACACATACATTCTGCTCTTTTCAGACCGTTTCAGCCGCCGTGCTGATATGTACGCGGTTACGGCTGCAGAATTCACCGCCGAAGGCATACCTGACATCCTTGTCAACAGGGATATCCCTTTGTGGGGTTGCTCGTTGAATCTTTTGTCTGACAACGGCTCTCAGTTTGGCTCTAAACTGTCCCAAGCCGTGTATGCCCGTCTTGCTATCCGCAAAGTGGCTACTAGTCCGTACCATCCCAATGGAAATGGGGGTGTGGAGCGTGTCAACCACACTATGGCTCAAATGTTGGCTATGGTTGTCAACGAACGACAAGACGGGACATTCATCTCCCACACGTCGCGTTTGGTTACAACAATTACGTTAGCGCCGCTACCGGTTCAGCGCCCAATTATGTGCATATGAATCGATTGCCTCGTTTACCGATGACTGTACTTGGGCATCCTGACGCTCGTGGCCACCAAAGCTTGCATCGTGATCAACTCGAATATTGCGATCTTGCTGCTGATCGCCAACGCCGTTCTTCCCACTTGGTGCGTGAACAGCATAACCTGTCCGTTTCGCGGATTGGGCAGCAAAATTCCACTTTATCAGACGCTTTCCACAAGCTTGCTTCTTACACTTGGTGAATGGGTTTGGGTGTATAACTCCGAATCTACTATTCGACAAGGCCTTCGTTCAGGCACAGATGATAAGGTTCTCAAAGCCAAGTTATTTCTACTCTGGACTGGCCCCTTCAAAATCTTGGCTGTGGGCCCATGTTCTGACAGCCGTGACGGTCGTCCTTTGGCTTTTAAGTTGCTTTACTTGGATCTTCCTTCGGACCTGCTGGTCCAAGACTCGAAACCTCGTGTTTCGGTTGTGCGTTGCAAGCCTTGCGCCAACCCGCATGACACCGATGACTTGCCGCGCTTCCTGCCTGCTGGCCTTACTCCGTATGTCCTGAACTCTTATGCGAACAAATCTCCTCCCTACCATGTTACGTAAGACGACGTGTCAACTCCGGTGGAACGTTTAGAGGTTGAACGCATTATTAGTGGCCAGCAGTCCGTCCGTGGCCGTGGGGGCACGATAGCCGTTTCATATCAGACACACTGGCAGGGCCTTCTGCGCCCTTCTTGGGAGCGTGAGGTGGACCTGCAGCATTCCAAGCCGCACATTCTTCGGTACTGGGCAGGTCCGCCTGACCAACATCGCCAAACAAATCGCCGTTATCGTGCGATGTGCGTTGGAGCCGCTACCAGGGAATTGGCGCGTGCTCAAGGTACGCGAGCTTTGCCTTCGGGCTACTCGCTTGTTTCCCGTTCAACATGGGACCGTCGCTTCGCCAACATTCCTCTACCGGTGGGTGCCTTCTTCTGGTATAGGAAACAAGGACTCTGTCTGGTGGTTGGGCATTGCTCTTGCAATAGCATTATTTGTTTTCATTTTCTCGTTTTCTTGCTTTTGGTTTCAATAGTCCGCCAGGTTGAGCTTTCTCTGTTCCCTGCCGAGGTTTTGCCAGCTGTTATTTAGTGTCACGACCCGTCTTCTTCTTGGTTTCGCTTCCGACACGTTTGGTTTCCAGCGTTTTTGGTACGTTGTGACGCCTTTGTACTTTTTCATGATAGTTTTTTTTTGCGAAAGAGTGGCCCGTATAGGGGTACGCTTTTTGTTTTGGAAAAAAATAAAAGATGTTTAGAGGGTGTTGGACGTACTCACAGCATCGGCAGATTATTGCAAGCAAGATTTCCGAGCTGATGGAGCCGGGGAGTTTGGGGGTTCAGCAGTTGCTATGGATAAGATTTGGTGGTACCAACTTTGCCGCATATTTCAGGATTGGGGGTGGGGGTATCTGTGCGTCTACAACGGATATGGTGACTGTGTGATGTGGTTTCTCACTTGTTTTTCGTTTCCTCTTTTTCCTCCTTCCTGTGTGCAATCAAGTCCTTTTTCCCCGGCTATCACGCCACGGTTACCACGCCAATCCCGGCTATCACGCCACCCGGCTATCACGCCTTCCGGACATCCACGTCCTTACTTATACATATACACCACGACCATCACGTCACCAGGCTTCCACGCCACATCCAGAGATACCATACCCGAGCTATCACGCTCCATCCCAAAGGAGAAGGCTGTCACGCCCATCATAGTTCCTACACTGTACCGTTGGCGGCTACCGCGCCGCTGGCTCTTTTATTTCCCAACCAAGGGACCCCGCGCGCCAAGGCACCGACGCACAAAGCTACTCAACGCGCTAGCGTTCACGATCAAGAGAGTGGCTGCTGTGTATACGCGCGCAACATGCCGGACGGAGACGGACGACAACCTCCGGGGGGATCAGGTCGGGCTGTCCCTTCCCCCGGGGCAGGCGTCGCGGACGGAGGAGGAAGTAATTCTTTCTCCGTCAACGATGCACGAGACCGAGGGGGTGCGCGAGCGGCAGGAGGGGAAGATCAGCGCAACACGATGCGTGAGCTGGTCGATCTCTTGAAGCAGGCCTTCGCGACATCAACTCAGGACCAGGGGCACCGTGCCCATCCAGGCACGTCTAGCAACCAAACTTTAGAGCTGAGGCAGAAAGAGAAAGTTGATGTCCCAGCATGGAGTGATGATTTTCTGAAGAGCAGATCAATTGAAGTTGCATTGCGAGTGTTCACGAGTGCATTTGAGGCGTGGCTGGAGAATGAGGGACTTGCTGGTGTGATGAGGGGTTCAGAGGTACCTGTTGGTGCAACTGGTATGGACTTGAACTGGTTGAGGAGCACGTACGGAGAGGAGAGAGTGAAGCAATCGAGNAACGAGTTCTGCGCGTACATGAGCGGGAGGCGGGAGGCTCAGGGGTTTGTCTTCCCTCGGGGCGGAGCTCAAGACTCGGGGCGGATGGTTGGTGGCCCATCTCGACAGCAGCCGTACCAAAACGAACAAGGTGCAGGCTGGAGTCGGGGCCACTCTCCTGCGCTGCCGGGACCGCCGCGTGGCCCAGGATCCGGAGCTGGAGGACAGCTGCAGGGGCGCAACTCGGGGGGGCGTGGGCATGGTGGTTACGGTCCTTACCCCCCGGAGAACCGAGGTCGTCAGGTGGGCAGCCGTGGTGTCAATTATCCGCCGCCCAACGTTCCTCCCGCGCAGATTGCCAACGTACCACGTCCCTATTTTCCGGCTCATTTCGCCATCGGAGGCGGAGAACCATCAAGCGGCGACATCACCTCTGGATGGGAGGCCACGTCGGCACCCGGATCTACATCAAGCTGGACCCCACCACCTCCCGAGGCAGGGTACGGGTACGGGCTCGCGGCTCACGGAGTGGACCATGGCGGAGGTCCCTACAGCAGTTCCGCCGGCGGGGGATACGGTCACCACCATTTCCCCGACGGCGGAGGACTCTACCAGCAGCAAGAAGTGAGCAACGTACCACACTATCCTTCTGCTGCTGTACCGGACGCCCAACAACCGCGAGCCTACGAGGCCTTTGACACCTCGCAGCAGCAACCGCAGCAGCAGCAGCAGCAGCAGCACTACGGCGCACCCCAGGCGACCTCTTCCTCCTCCTCTCCCTCTCCAGCTCCAGGCGACGCTCTACCTCTAGCCGGCGATTCCCATCTGCGTCTCTTCATGGCACGTAGCATGTGCCCTCGAGGCAAGTCTGAAATTGATTTCGAGAAAGAGTTTGGCTTTTCGATGTCTGACGTGTTCATGAGTGCGGAATCTGATGTGCCTATGCCTGGTGTTGTTCGCATGCCTGCTGTACCTCCTGTACCTGAGAGTTCTGATAAAGAGTTGGGTGTCTCGAAGTCTGGTGTGTCTACCCATCATGTACCTCGCGTGCCTGCTGTGCTTGAGAGTCCTAATGAAGAGTTCGGCGTTTCGGAGTGTGATGCATCTGTCCCTACAGTTGTACCAAGTGTACCTGAAAGGGTAGTCGTAGCCCGTCTCACCCGCCGTCCCACGGTTGAAAAAGCGNCTAATGAAGAGTTCGGCGTTTCGGAGTGTGATGCATCTGTCCCTACAGTTGTACCAAGTGTACCTGAAAGGGTAGTCGTAGCCCGTCTCACCCGCCGTCCCACGGTTGAGAAAGCTTTCTTGTGCCAAGCCTCCATCCCGAAGCCCATCGGTAGCGAACAATGGCAGGCCGATTCTGGTGCCAGTGCGATGATTACTAACAAAGTGGATGCGATGTACAATGTACGCCACTTGGGCCCGGACGAACGATTTATTCAGATTGGAGACTCGGCTCTCATCAAGGTTGCCGCTGTAGGGAGTTTGGATTTTAGGTTCCACCAAATCGGAGCCGACGGGAAACAGGAGGATTTGGACGTCACTGTGCCAGAAGTCTTGTTTGTACCCGGGTGTGGTTTCAACCTTTTTTCGGTATGGAAGGTGTCTCACAAGCATGAGGTCCGTATCAATCCCAACGGTACGCAAATGATGCACGGAAAACTGCGTTTTATTCGTGGCGTTTCGAGCGACTCCCTTTTTGCAACCCGCCTTCCGCACAAATCCCTGCCTTCTATGGACGTTGCGAATGAGAGTTCCCGTGAGAATTATTTTTCCTTTGTGGCATCGGCGCTTACAGCCGCGATGGATTCCGATCTAGAACCCCCCCGTGTGACGGATGCTGTAGCGGAATACTCGGCGAAGATGATTGATGTGTGGGAGAGTGAAGAGTGTGAACGCGCCATGGCTGTGTTGGGTCCAGGGAAGACACCATTCAATGTCGGCAATGCACAAAAGGTCATGGATATTAACACGTTCCACTCCCGTGCCGGCCACTTGTCCGAACCCATTTTGAGGCTGTCCGCAAAGCAGCACGGGATTACCCTCACGGGCACGATGGACAGCTGCCGCTGGTGCTTGCCGGC